AGATTGTTTACATTTCTTATAAACCTGTTTGTATCTGTGTATGCCTGGGCCTTGTTTAAATGAGCAAAGCAAGAATTGTGTAATACGATTTTTCCTCATTCAACGCATTTCGTGGGTGATTTATTATTCCTGTGATTATCCTACTTTAATAACAATAGTTTAATAGATTACTACAATTATGTTTTTATTTGTCAAGTAACGGTAGAATGTTTACATTATTCTTATTGGTATTGGTATATCTTTAAAGGATATACAGGGTGATTGATATAAGTGTGCCAGCCGTTTTATTCGAAACTATAAGAGATATCAAAAAAAGTTAAATAGAAAGTCCCTTGGATTTTTTATTTTAAAAATTGTAGTCAAGTCAAAAAAATTATTTTAGCCGCCATTTTTCCAATATGGCCGCCCAACTTTGATTTTTCTTATGGAACACCCTGTATTTATGATGTATTCTGGTAGAAAATGTAATTCTAAGACGATTTTATTCTTGTGATTTTTTTCATAAACCTAACCATTTCAAAGATAATAATGGTTAAAGTTTTGAAATTTCTGCATGAGAAAGAGTTTCGATAAAGGCCGAAGCATGCCAGCTGTTTTATTCGAAAACCATTAAAAATTTCATAACTTAAACCATTATTATCTTTGAAACGGTTAGGTTTATGAAAAAAATCACAAGAATAAAATCGTCTTAAAATTACATTTTCTACCAGAATACATCATAAAATACAGGGTGTTCCGTAAGAAAAAACAAAGTTGGCGGCCATATGGAAAAATGGCGGCTAAAATAATTTTTTTGACTTGACTACAATTTTTTAAATAAAAAACCCAAGGGACTTACCATTTAACTTTGTTTGATATCTCTTATGGTTTTCGAATAAAACTGCTGGCACACTTATATCAATCACCCTGTATTTATTAAATTTGTATGTTATTGTATATGATATGTTAGTAGCATAGTTTGACCTGAGTTCTTTGCAAAGCAGTTCTGTACTGAGAGATTCTAGGAAATAAAGGCATTTTTATTTATAAATAGGTCTTGTGGATCTTGTACGATATTTGGTAATCCCTCAAATCTGAGGCATGGATTGAGAACCGGTTTTATCTATTTGCATTCGAGGTAAATGAACGAAGCTAGATATTGTAGTACGATATTTATTCATTCAGTGCACTTTTAAACGGAGATTTGGTATTCGACACTCATACGAATTAATATAGGTATTGTTCTTA